AAAAAATGGTTCATGAAATTTTAGTTCACTCATAAAGCTAAAGTCCACCTGCTCTAACAAAAAATGCCCACTGTGTGCCGCTAGTGCTGACAATGATTGTGGTGGTAGTGACCGTGTCTTCGTTGTCGTCGCTTGTGCCGATAGTTGATCTTGTTGTTCAGTGGTAGCAGGTATTGACTAAATTTTTGAGACAAGTTGATCTTCTACGATTTCAAGGTTTTCTTCTATGTTCATATTTCTATAAGGATTATTACAACTAATATATTCATCTTCTTTGCCATCGTTGCCGTCGCTAGCATCATTGAGTTGGTTGTGCTTGGATAGCCACATATATATATATATATATATATATTGATAATAACAGATGCTTTTTTGGTCGTCTTTACGGAGAGAAATCACACCTCATCACTTATATCCATGATTGACGAAAAAAGACGGAAGATGAGAGTGAGGGTCAGCTACAGCTGTCAAAATATATTTCTCCTTCCATGAAAGCTCCGGCGGAGGTCTTTTGATTTTTTGTCTAAATCTAATCTAATGGCCAGCTCAGTCAAGCTACACAACACGATCGCAACTATCGTCTACCATCCTCTTTGATTTTACTCGACTCAGTCAGTCCAACGGCGATTGACTCAAAAGCTCGACAAGCTATATTAAAAACATCAAAGACACATTCCGATGAAGCAACTCCATCATGTATGCGTCGTCTACCCAATGTATCATCTGGTTATACATTCTCTACTATTCAACGTGCATTACAATTTCAATACTTTAAAGAAAAACTGGATGTGAAACCGAAACAGGATGAGTCTATTGATCTATTCAACACAACAATCATCGCTGTCTGGAAGTATCGACATTTAATGTATCCAGACGAAAACAGCGGAGACTTCACGTTTAAAGTCCGATGAAGTTCGGAAATCTTTGCAAATCTTTAGAAGTCTTTTAAAGTCTTTAAACATAGTATGAATTTTCGTGAAGTCTCATGAAGTCTTATGAAATCTCATGTAGTCTCCAGAAGTTCTGGAAGTCTCTTAAAGTCTTTAGAAGTCTGTCCGACGATTCGTTGAATCACTCATTGTTACTCATACCGAAGCAAATCTGAATACATCTGGCCGATTGCTATACAAAGGCGACGATGATAATGATGATAATAATCCAAATATACCGGTAATGTCAACTGAACACGCATTCGTGATTGTGGTGAATGGTGCCGTAATATGGTTTTTCGTCTTGATCAATAACCATTACTGGTTTCAAGCAATTGCAACTATTATAATCTCGTAAGATCTAACTATGATAAAAATTTGAAGCCAGCTTTTCGTGTTTCTTTCATTGTAGCAATACCACCTCTTATTCAAGCTAACTGATATCTATATATACACGCATCTAACTTTCATACTGCATGAAACTACACTTTCTTGCTTTTGTTTTTTTATTCATTACAACGCCTATTTTCAATGTCTTATATTTAAAATAAATTGTATTGTGTTTTCTTTTATTCTATAGTGAGAAAATATATCGATACTCGTTTTTTTCTTTTCTTTTAAGAATTTCTATTTCATAAATGTCATTACTGTCGGTTGTATGGAATACTATTTTCCAATGTGCTGTACCATAATACGTATAGAGTTACATAAAAGAACATGAGGACACTTGTGATATAAAGGACGATTTTCTGCACGCGAAACGGAAATAAATAAAATTACTGCGTATTTTGTTTCAGTTCATTCTCTAACTGCGCCCTCAGTGAACAAGATAGCTTGCTTGCATCATGTTCCCGAAGAAAAAACCGGATAAAACATGGTGAAAGTAGTCTGAGAAAACGTTACGTAACCTTTGCAAGCCTCGGGAACGGGGTGCCCAAATCCAATTTGTAGAAATCAAGAGCTTTTCGTTAAAAATCCAGAGATATTTTCTAAAAAATCCGAAGGAAAATCCGGAGATTTTTTTTCGAAATCGGAAGAGAAACATGAGTATCGGGCAGTGAGTTGTTGGACAGGCAAAACAAAAAAATCCAATAACTTTCTCAAAAACAAACTTGTTTTGAAATATTTTTTGATGGAATAGTATTATTATTATTATTATTCTTTTATTAGTATTATTCTTACAGACTGCAGTACGCATTGAGGAAGCAGATTTTGATCCAATGAAGTTGAAAGTTCACTAATCTGATCTTCTTGTGATGAGAACGTTCGATAAACATACAGTGGACTCCTTCAATGTACAATTATTTAGATTCTTGGTCCAGAAATTCTGTTTATGAAAGTGATAATATCAGTTTCAGAAAAAACGAAACTGATGCAGGAAAACAATGGAAAATCAGGAGAAAATCTTCAAAATCAGCACTTGAAATCAGAAGAAAAGTCTAAAAATAAGGAGTCTCCTGACCAAATCAGGAGACTTGGGCACTCTGTCCGTAATGAACTTTTATCGTTTGATTGAGACTTTTTTTGAAGAAAACTTCTTTACAGTTCTCATTCCTTTACACTTTTGAAGAACTGCGGTAATCAAGTTATTGGCTTAATCGCATGATGTTTTACCCGGTTTTGTCTTCGGGCACATGATGCAATTAAGGAAAATCATTTACGCTCAGTTAAACATCAACTTTTTCATTCATTTCTCACTTCTGTAGATCTTTATTCTGAGATTTTCACATGATTAATATGTTTAATTGAGCCTTATACATCAGAAAACTGCTGAGATTAATGCACTCTCTAAGAAAGAACACCTGGTGTTCAACACCGCCTTTTGATACTCAGAATGGCTGACGAAACAAATTTCGAAGTTTTCTACACTTCAGAAACGTTTTTGAGGTTCACCACTCTTTACTCAGTTGCACGAATTGAATGTTTGAAATGATACAGATGAAGAGAAGATAGCAGAAAAAAGAATTCTCTGCCTTCTTGCGGTCCAAAAAATCATCAGCAGTTATGATCCGTAAAATATCACAACCAATCGCAAGTTTGATAGATATATCTGTTACAGTATCGTTTTTAGGTGAAAATCAATCTAATCCTTTTAATTCCCACAGTTTTTATGGCTTAAAACAGCTACATTGCTGTTTTATTTCGGCAACCATTTTGCCGTTTTTACATAGTTGTTGGTCTGACGGCTAGCCTTTTTCAAAATTCCTGCTAACCGTCAATTGACGGCTATTTTTGACGGCTAGCGGGAAACAACCTGTAGTTCGTCATTGTATCTTGTCTTGATTCAGCAGAAAAGATGACACATTAACTATCTCCGCAATAAGAATACTTTGACATGCCTCAACGAAGATGTAGTTGAAACTGCCAGTTCCGTGTTAAAGACTATTTCAATTTTGAATAAAGATCCGTTTTGCAAGTTTCTTTCCAGAATTTTCGAGGGTTATAAGAATTTACAACAAATCAGACAGAGGAATTTCTAGTCGTAAGCTTGCACCAATCTACATCGACCAGCGACATTTTCGACTAGTGTTTGAAATAAGGGTATACAGTAGGAAGATTGGCAACTGACATAAATATGTCGAAAGAGAGAAACGCTGATAATTCAAAAACCATTTCGAGGTTTAGTATTGTGTCAAGATATATTTCATGATGACTTATTTGACCCACCAAATAATTTGTTTTTTCCCGCTAATTTTCTTATCAACAGCTTAAAAATAAGTTTAGTTTCAAAAGTACGAGACTTTAAGCAATGGAAAGATCTATCATCCCACCTGTGACCCCTAATGGACTTATAAATTATGATAACAAAAATGCATTCAATGTATCAATGGGCGGGAATACTGTTACAAAAGCATTATTTGGCTCTACCGGCGTTGGACCATGCTTTTTAGTATGTGGTACAATTGAATCACGCGGTAACCAATATGGATTTCTCTTTCATATAGAAAATATAGATCCCTACAATTTAGAAGATACAAACGAAAAAAAGCAAAACTCGCTGAGGTTTATTCGCCATATCATTAGTAAAGTACAAACAAAGGTTAAAGATGTCTTATGTACATTTAAGTACAGTTTCGTTCTCGGCGGTGTATCGGGCTACATAGGTTATGATAATTTCAGAAACGGTATCTTCCAATTAAAAAACGAAGGAACAAACAATGGATTTGTCGAAAATGAACTAATATCAAACATAGAATTCCATATAAAAAAACAATTTTTGAACCGCACAACGTACAAGGGAACGATGTATACCAATAAAACTCCAGTAAAATAAGCTAGCATTCGCGATTCATCAAATCCAAATGCCATTTAATTTTGATCATAGCCCCTCTATTCTTTAACAAAATTTTTCCTCATGTCTCCTAGTTGCTTTCTGATTGGCTCTGAAGAAAGCAATAGCACCATTAGTTGCACAGTAATAAGCGATTACAGAAAATAAGGACATTTGGTAGGAGGACTGACGACTAAGTGCATCCGCTATAGTGTCACTAAAACATATAGGATATTCAAAATTCGAACTGAAATTTATTGGATGAAAATTTTAGATTTAAAGTAGCTTTCAATAACATTTCATTTCCTCATATTTTTTAAGTTAAAATTTCAAAACTGAAAGTTTTCAAAAACTTCACTAATTTCTCCGAAACTCAAGAAATTTCCGCTCAAAAAGCAGGAAGCCCTGCGTATTGATGTAGATCTACAGAAAAGAATATAAAGAGCAAAAATCTCAAAAGGTCTAAAGCTATTTCTGAATTTAAAACAATCCTCATGCTTCCCTTCTGTCGGCGTTCGCAACCAGTATAGATGAGAAATGCGATGAACTTCTCTGATTCCACTGGAAAACCATCTAATATAATATAAAGCTAAAAGGTGTTTTTGCACACTCTCTGCAGATCCCAAAGAGGTTGGAAGTATTTCTAATCGATTTGTTATAATAGATTATCTATACACTGTCAATTTTATTACCCGTATACCACTCTTTTGTATTCTCGCAGTTGACTGCTATCTGGCGACATCTACCGCCCGGACATACAAAAAACGTTTGCTGAGCTGTATACCTCCCTGCATCAGTACATATTTCAGATGATCTCTTTGAATATTTTCTCCCTTTTGTAAAAAATAATTTTCTACTTCTCTCTCTGGTGATTCGCTCATCCATAGAATATCTAACACCCATTTTTCCGCATTTTGCGCACACATAGACACACAGACACACCGACAACCATTTCGTAAGACCCAAGACTAAAGTCAAGGGAACTTCCGCGAACGCTAGTTTATTTTACTGGAATTTTAATGGTATATATCGTTCCCTTGTACGTTGTGCAGTTCAAAAATTGTTTTATTTTATATACCGAGGACCACTGTGTATGACAAGTTTGCATAAAATGGACTCATGGTTCAACATAGTATTTAACGTCGAACAACACATATTAGTATGTGAATATTGCATCGAGGAACTATTGGCTTTAAGTGAAAAGATCAGTATTGATTACGAGAAAAGGGTTATAACAATTGGACAACATATATACAAAAAAATGAAAAATTAAGGGAACGTTTCAGAATGTATTCCGGTCGGTCGGTCGCTATTCCGCTGTTCCTCTATTCCTCAATTATTTCTCTATTATAGAATTTAAATTCTAATTTATTTTATTTTATTTTGTATAGTTCGATTTCTTTGATTGTATTGTTGATACATATATCGGCATATATATACTTCCAATGTGTTCGTTTTTTTAACAGACATCTTTATAAGAGCAGACATTTTTCTGTTTAAAGAATAAAATCAGAAAGTAACAA